AAAAAAAAAAAAAAAAAAAAAAAAAAAAAAAAAAAAAAAAAAACCTTCAAGTTGGAAGGATTAAATGCAGGAGTAATGACGTGTCTTTGTCGAACCCACTCGTCTCCTTCAGCCATCACCAATCCATTCCCAAACATTGATTTCCTATCACGTTTGAACACCGACGGCTTCCCCCAGTACTTAGCTTGCACTTCCCTTGACAACATCTTCACAAACTCCGGGTCTGCAAGGTACAAAAACGGCTCGGTCCCCAACCAGTACGTAAATATTTTCCCTATTTATAATCATTACAAACATATCCATGTCAATTTAAACATATCTCAATTTATTTCATCATTAAAAAAAAAAAACAATACTAACCATAGGCAGCTTGCCACCGAGAAAAGTACGGAAACACAATGGAATGTATATCATGCGTCAAACACTCGAACACACGACCAAAGCTTGTCCTTTTCATCTCGCTAATATTCCCGAGAGGAAAACTCGGGGTCGGACCTCGAAACCCATTTCGCTTGAGCTTTTTGTGGGCTAAAAATGGTGAAATCCAACAAGAAAACAATACCTTGAAGAGCAAGGAAATAAAGAACGCCATTATCACTAACCCAATAGCTTCTTCAACCAACATCTTAGCTTTCTCTCTCTAAAACCAGTGTCTCAAATCCTTTGTTGATGGTGGAAGAATGGAATTTGGTGGGTATTTATAGGAATTATATGGGGATTTATTCATTTTTTTTTTTTTATTTTTATTTTTATTTTGACTTTGAATTGAAGACGTTTTCCATATATGTTTTCAAGTCAACCCTTTGTTTTGACCCCTTTGGGGACAAAAAGGGGACAAATATTTTTAAAGCTTTTAATCTATAAAGTTTGCTTTCCTACCTAATTCCAACATTTATTTATTTATTTATTTATTTTATCATTTTATTATTACCAACATTATAAACTAATAAAATTAAATTTTTAATTTTGTGTTCAATAAGTCGGGACGGATTTAATAGTTTAAATTTTTTTTAAATATAAATTTAATAATTAATAGATAAAATAAGTTTTTAAAAATATTTGAAGTATACTATAAATTTATTAAATATAATTATGGTAATATGTATATATATATATATATATATATATATATATATATATTATATTGAAGAAATTGTTTGCGTGTTGCTCCCAATAAAAAGGACCAAGTTTTAGGATCATAAATGTTTTGATTATTCAAAAGGGTAGGATTGGGATTTTGGGGGTTGGTTTTTCACGTGGGGGGAAAGGGAGGCCAAAATCAGGCGCGGAAGCCACCAAAGAATTCAAACAGAAGTGGACCAATGATATTTTGACAGGTGTCGAAGAACACGGCGTTTGGGTCAACTTTGCTTGTCCGCCCAATTCTACGGACAAAAAAACACACGTCCCGTTATTTCTTTGAAACTTTTTTAGGCCAATCAAAGTGGAATTTCTTTAACTAACTCCTTTTTTACTTATGCTTAATTTTTTTTATATTAAGCTCCATAAAATTACTCTCGACTAGAAATTCCGTTAAATTTTTTAACGAAAAATCGATATAGTGATGATTTAAAATAAAGTAGACGTGACTTGAAAACCTTAAATTAGCCGATATTGTATCCGTTAGACTTTTTTCTTCGAACTTCCTTTCAAGGGTTTTCAAACACGTCTGCTAGGGAGAGAATCTTGCTGAAAACCTCGAAAGAAAAAGTTCAAAAAGAACAATATCTACTAGCAGTGAGTTTGAGCTGTTACGTATAAATTTTTTTTACTTAAAACATTTATTAAATGTAAAGGGTAATCTGGTAAATTTTGAACAACAAATGTGAATTATAATGAGCTTGAGTTATGCTTATGTTATACTCTCTTGAAGAATTTTTTAAAAACCTATGCTACACATGAAAATAATTTTTTTTAATAATTATTAAAAAAAAAAAAAAAACACAACGATTTTTGTACTAATTATCTACACATAAGTCAATAATGAAAATTTCAACCATTTGAAACCAACTTAACTTTTTGACTTTTTTTTATTTTTTTTTTTAGTTTCAACAACGTTGTAACCTTAATGTTGTGCATGAAAATATATGTCCCAATTTGTTGTTTTGAATGGAAAATTTTGTTACATTCAAATTCAACAAATAAATATGCGATATGATTCTTAAATTAATGTTTTAAGAAAAGCTTAGAACATAATTATTCTTAATTTAGATTATGATGTAACATAATATCCTAAACTTTAGGCGTTAGAATTGGTCAAATATTCAAATTAATTAGTTTTCTTCCTTAAACTTCTCCTTCTTCTAACCTCTCATTTTCCTCCCAATCCATTCCTTTCCTCCTCTATTTCTCTCTTTCTTCATCTCCCTTTCCCATACTACACTCTTTCCCTCCTTCCTCCTCCACAACAAGACAACATGGTATGTCTTTCTCGTACTTGTTCTTGTACTTGTTCTTTCGTTGTTATGATATGATTATCCAACGGGTAAAAACTATGTTAACTTTCTTCGTTTGTTGTGTAATGTTTGTTGAGTTAGGCGAACTCGGCATCTGGAATGACCGTGAGAGATGAATGTAAGTTGAAGTTCTTGGAGCTGAAAGCAAAGAGAAACTACAGGTTCATCATCTTCAAGATTGAACAACAGGAAATTGTGGTAGAGAAACTCGGAAAACCTGAAGAAACATATGAGGATTTCACTGGATCTCTTCCTGCCGATGAGTGTCGCTATGCTGTCTTTGATTTTGACTTCATCACCGATGAGAATTGCCAGAAGAGCAAGATTTTCTTCATTGCATGGTATGCACGTAATAATAGTAATCAATCATGGGTTCAACCTAAAAATTGTTCTTTACTGATATGTTGACGTGTAGGTCGCCCGAGACATCGAAGGTGAGGGGCAAGATGGTGTATGCGAGCTCGAAGGACAGGTTCAAGAGAGAGCTAGATGGCATTCAATTTGAGTTGCAGGCGACCGATCCGAGTGAGATGAGCTTTGACATTGTCAAGGCACGGGCATTTTAGATGCCGACAAGAAGAAGCTGTCTGTGGCTCCTTTGTGTTTGGTCCAAGTTCATGTGGGATGGTTTGTTATTGAACGAACAATACACATCTCTAGAGAAGCTTTTGTATTTGTTGATTCTTTATTATTTTATTTATAACTCAAATGTACGTGTAGCCCTTTCATATTTGGATGTTTTGGGAAGTATTTTATAGCATGGTTTGTACTTTGTAGTGTTATGAAATACTTCGTCAAAAAATTGTTCTAATGTTTGAGAGGAAATTGCAAGTTTGAGAATTATTTGAATTCAGATCTCTTCTTTCTTTCTTCGATCTCTAAGTTTATGAAGATATTCGAAGGTTGTTCCAGTATCATATTGTTTATCATGATATTTCAAGGTTTCATTGTTTGATTCAAAGGTGTATCACTGTAATAATAAAAATAAAAATAAAAACTTCGATGATAAGTGGGTTAAGTCTATTCGTTCTTATACTTGAGCCGAGTCTATTCGTTCTTATACTTGAGCCGAGTCTATTCGTTCTTATACTTGAGCCGAGTCTATTCGTTCTTATACTTGAGCCGAGTCTATTCGTTCTTATACTTGAGCCGAGTCTATTCGTTCTTATACTTGAGCCGAGTCTATTCGTTCTTATACTTGAGCCGAGTCTATTCGTTCTTATACTTGAGCCGAGTCTATTCGTTCTTATACTTGAGCCGAGTCTATTCGTTCTTATACTTGAGCCGAGTCTATTCGTTCTTATACTTGAGCCGAGTCTATTCGTTCTTATACTTGAGCCGAGTCTATTCGTTCTTATACTTGAGCCGAGTCTATTCGTTCTTATACTTGAGCCGAGTCTATTGGTTCTTATACTTGAGCCGAGTCTATTGGTTCTTATACTTGAGCGGAGTCTATTCGTTCTTATACTTGACCCGAGTCTATTCGTTCTTATACTTGAGCTGAGTCTATTTGTACTTATACTTGAGTCGAGTCTATTCGTTCTTATACTTGAGCTGAGTCTATTTGTACTTATACTTGAGCCGAGTCTATTTGTTCTTATACTTGAGCTGAGTCTATTCGTTCTTATACTTGAGCCGAGCTTGACCTTGTTCAAGAAAGTTAGAAAACGGGGGCTGGCAAAAGGCAACAACAGCTTACTTTTTTTGAAACCAAGATTTGAAATTATACTTTTTTTTGAAACCAAGATTTGAAATTATACTTTTTTTTGAAACCAAGATTTGAAATTAATGTTATATGGGAATGTAAGCAAAAGCCAAGAAGGCAACAACAACGCTTGAGAAATTGAAATTGGTGTTTAGGGGAATGTAAGCAAGGCAACAACGGCTTACATGTAAGCGGTGTTACAGGGGAATGTAAGCAAAAGGCAACAACGGCTTACATGCAAGCAAAAGGCAACAACGACGGCTTACATGCAAGCAAAAGGCAACAACAACTACAACTATCGGGTATGAGAATATGACTACCGGTTTGAAAGTTGGTCCAAGTAAAATCGAGGTTACAAATTAATAAAATATAAACTAAAAATATTATTACACGGTTCCAAAAATACTTATAAATTCTAAAAATTAACGTTAAAAAATCTTTATTTTATGAAATTGTTAATAATAGTTTTTAAATTTAAGGATAATTTTAAATTTTTTTAAAGTAGAGTGTATTAAATTTAAGAGAAAACAAAACATTAATCTTCTAAAATTAATTATAAGAATATTTCAAGACTTTTTCTTTTAAAAAAAATTAAAATTTTAGAAACATTCTTTTTAGACAAAATATATTCTTATTAATTTAGCTTAAATATAACATATTAGCGGAGAAACAATCTGAACTGAAATCCTGGTCAATTGGCCCGTAAGTAGAACAGCTCCAACCACACCACGACAAGTGTCACCACCTCTCAAACTCTAAACTTCCACGTGGCGTGCAACCCTTTTAAAGATCCAAAGTTCTCTATAAAAATGACGACGAGAGTGCTCGTAATCAACAAATAAACAATTTTATTCACCTAACCCTTTCACCTTTCCAACCCTTTTTGACGAAAATGGCAGACAGCTCTCAAAGTTTGAGCTACCAAGCTGGAGAAGCCAAAGGCCAAGCCCAGGTTCACTTTGCCCCTATTTTCTTAAATGCTTCATGCTTGGTGGTCATTTAATCGATGGCTAACATATTGCTTTATATGATTGTGTAGGAGAAGGTGAGTAATTTGATGGACAAGGCCAGTGATACGCTTCAATCAACCAAGGAGTCAATACAAGAGGCCGGACAACAAATAGCGGCTAAGGCTCACGGTGCTGCTGATGCTGTTAAAGACGCCACTAGCTTCAACAAATGAAGCTTCAACATATTAGCTTAGGTTTTCATGAATAAAGGCTTTATCATCCAAATGGAAGCATCTATCGTATTAATTAATTTTCTCTTTAAACGTTGAATTTTGTTAAATTATATGAAATAGAAAATTTGAATCTTAAATTATGTTTGTCATTGTTAGCACACGCGGTTGCTCAAAGGATTGGAATATGTGGCTAAAACCACAGTGTCAGGGTTTAAATCCCTCCTCACCCACCATCGGACTTTTCCTAAAAGTAAGAAAAACCATAATCAAAATAGCAGACCCAGAGCTATAGAACTTGGGTGTAGTGCCTAGATATTAATTTAATGATAAAACAGTCGATGTGGATTTGACACTTCATGTTCCCATTAAAACACGTTTAGTCCTATTTATCTAACGTCTCACAATCAAAATAAATGGGTTGAATTTTGGAGTAATACAAATATGGCTTTTGTTTTTATTTCAATTTAAATAAAAAATAAAGAATAAAGAATTCGGATTGGGAATTTGTTTGGCATGAGCATTTTTGGCTGTGTTGCGTGCCCTTTATAAACCCCCCGATGGCATGCGGATGCGTCACTGTTCTTCATAAACATAATACAATTACAATCCCCCCCCTCCTTTCTCTGTTCTACACGGCTTTTCCTCATCTCACCAAAATGGCTCAGGTTCTTCTTCTTTATCTCTCTCTCTCTCTCTGATTCCTCCGCCTCTGTTTTCTCTTTCCTTCTACGGATTTTCTTTCTGATTTTGAGATTCGCAGAAAGTGGTGCTGAAGGTAATGACGATGACGGACGACAAATCGAAGCAGAAAGCAATCGAAGCCGCTGCCGACATCTACGGTTCGTTTCCTTTTCGATTCTTTGCTTTCCGCATTATTTTTCTTCCACATTTCCGATCGAAATTGTGTGTGATGGTTGGATGACTAGGCGTTGATTCGATCACCGCGGATCTGAAGGATCAGAAACTTACGGTGGTTGGATCGATGGACGCGGTGGCGATTGTGAAGAAATTGAAGAAAGTAGGTAAAGTGGATATCATATCAGTCGGACCTGCGAAGGAAGAGAAGAAGGAAGAGAAGAAGGAAGAGAAGAAGGAAGAAAAGAAGGAAGAGAAGAAAGAGGAGAAGAAGTAAAGTAGAAGCCAAAAAGTACACAATTCCTTTACTCGTTCTTTCAATTTTTATTTTCCATACATTTTCCATATATATATATATATACATGCATATGTATTTCTCTTAAACATCGAAATCTCTACTGATCCCGGTTAATCGCCGGACTACTTCGCCTCCTCTCCCGCCGCCGGAGAATCTGTAAATTCTTCAACCCCTGCTTCAATCCTCACAAAGTAAATAACTAATAAAAACAAATCACAATCAAGCATGATTTCATATTTTGATTCACCTTATGAAGTATTAGGATCTCCACCTTTCCCCATCCACGACCCCACACTGTCCCTCACCAAATCCGCCATATTCTTCACCGTCGCTGCAGTGGTGGATGTTGCTGGGGAGTATCTCTGTGTTCCTTCATTATTATCCTCTCTCCCCAGTCGCTGAGTCAACTCCTCGGACTCTGTTACCTTCCCTTTGGGCTGATTTTCTCCAGCTTTCACTACCTTCTCTTTACTTGAGTTGTAAGCCTCCGATATCACCTCTGAAAGTGCTTTGTCTTCCTCCCCTGGCTTCAGCTTCTCTGTCACTGCTAAAGCTATCTTCCTTCCATACTCCAATGGCGAAGAAGAGTTGGTGTCTGTGTTTTCCTCTGCTTTACCCAGCATGGGTGAACCCGCGCCTGATATCTTTTCCCCGGAGCTACTCTGATTTCCTTGGTCTATTCCACTAGCTAAGCCGGGACGGGTCTGTACGTCTTCGTTGTTGAGCTTCATTCTTGCAAATGAATCGAATGTCTGAGAATCCCCTGTTTTTTCGTTCCCTGTTCCACCGCAACACATTCATAAAGATCAAACGGTAAGAAAGAAATTGCTATTGTAGATGTGAAGATTGTTGGGAGGATGCTTATGGATATATCCATAAGGAATAAATCTCCCGCTTTGTGAAGAAGCCTGAAGAAAATGTAGAGATTATGCTCAAAGTGGATAATGTTACCTCTTTTTGCTGGATCCAAAGCTTTGACCTCGGAATTATGAGGTGTGTGAGGGTATGGAGCTTTGTCTCTAGGCGCCTGAGGACCCTCCTCCAACCTCCATGGGGACAAAGACATGGTCGTGTTTGGCTCAACAGCAGAGGGACGGCTTGCCGTTCCTCTTGGAGCCGGAGGAGGCTGATCGTGCACCTCTGTCGGCAATCCAATTCCGACATCTTGTTGCTGCCCTTTTCCGGCCACAGCGCTCCTCATTGCAGCGCCTTCATACACTGCCAAGTAATAGAAGTGGCACCATCAAATATCCTTACAATTTGCGCTATGTTTCAAAAAGTTTAAGACATACATGGCGCCCCTTGAAGTTCAGGATCCGCCACAGCTCCTCCACCTTCTTCTTCTTCGTGATCCTCGGGCTCATGGTGATCGTGGGCATGTCCATGCTTAGTGATCGTGTCCTTAATCTTCTTAGCCTTTGCCTTAACTTTCTTCAACACTGATTTCTTTTCATGATGCTGCCCATCTTCTTCCCCTTCCGCACCTACAAAGTTACACATTCCTAACATTATATCTCTACAAATAAGCGAAGATTTAGGAAAAACGGCTGTTTACTTCGGTAAAGTGCGACGTTGTGAGGGTCATGGTGGTGGGCGTGGTTGCGATGAGGGGCCGTTTGCTGGGACTCCATGATGACAGCCGATGATACTCCTGACAGAGAGAAACGTAGAAGATGGGTATGAGACAAAGGATTTAATAGAAAATAGAGGAGCTGGCCAGCTTCGCAAGGGTGTGTGGCAGTTCAAGAAGAAGACACGAAGTGGCTGGGGGTGATAAACACGTATATAGGTATAAGGATCCTTGTCGGACCTATTACCATCCTCGAGTGAACCCACGTTATTATCAAAATATGCCTATAAGATAACTAATCAACGTCTAGTATTTGCCCACGCACATTTTGAATACTTCAATTTTATCAAAAGATTCTGATATACAATTAAGAGTGCGATTTAGAATAAACTTAATTATCTTGGGATTTTAAGGAAATTTAAGGAAAGATCCACCCGTGTAAATGGATAGAAGCTAGTTTTGATCCGATTCAATCAGCTTAAATCGATAAGACATATTCTGAATAAGATTTTGGTCGTATTAGGCCTGAACGATTTCAACCTATTTAGTTGCCCGAGGCTTAACCTATTTTATTAAATAATTTTTTTTATTTTTTGAATAGCCTTTAAATAATAGAAAATGAGAAATATTAAAGAGGAGTAATCTTTTTCTAATTTTCTCATCTCCCTTTGTATGGCTAATATAAATTACGTTAAAAATCTTTAAAATAAATCAATCTCATCACTATAAGGGCATTTTGGTAAAATCAGTAGCTATTTGTAAACAATTTCAGAGATATAAAAAAACCCTCGAAGCGCGAAATTCTGTTTATGTGACCGTTTTCCCTCTATCGTGTTGCTCTCAGTCGCTGAAAATGCAAACTCTGTTCCTCCTCGTTGATTACTTCGCTCCGGAAAACGAATCCTTCCACCGATTCCCTATAACCTCACCTCGCTTTTTGAAGCCACTTTCCACCGTCGGCAACCTTCTCTGCTTCGATTTTGTCCCTGAAATCTCTCTCGGAATTGATTGGTTAACGATCGATTCTGCTGTCTCCAAGTTCTTTGACGACGTTCTTCCTCGGAGAATCGATGTTGATAATGGTTATCTCGGTGCTGGTGGTCAGTCTTTGAGGTTCTGAGGTTCCTCGGGAGGATTTTCTCTTCGGAGAGTGTTGAAACTTGATTCCTGGAGGTAAAACTTTTTGCTCAATTAATGCAATTGTTGATTTCAATTGAGATCTCGAGTTAATGTTCTTCACTGCTTGCGGCTGTAAACAATTTCTGTTCATGAGAGGTTGTACGAAGTTTTTGTTTAATAGCACAGCAAGCTTGATTGAATTGACGAGCGCTCTTTACTTAAATTCTAGCGATTCTCAGAGAATATTCTTCAGAGGCTTTCCTCATTTCTGGACTAGTTACATAGTCCTTTTCTCAAACAAATTAAACGAAGCCATTTCTTCAAGTGATGCCAATCTTTAAGGACACAAACCAAAAGAAAATTGCAAAATCAAACGGATTGGATATATTTTCACCTATACATTTGTAACTAGAACACACTTTCAATTTCGAGGAAGTGTTTGTATAAAATTTTTGGAAGTGATGATTTATGCTTTGATATTTCAAACTCTTTAACTAGCAAGGAGCTACTCTGCCGCTGTGATGTCGTGACCATGGCAGAGAAACTAAATCACAGGGGGGGTGTTTAAACAAATTACCATGACAATCTTGGAATTTGGGTAAGTTCCTTACTCAAATTCCGTTTAACATAATTTAACCGTGAAAGAAAGATTGTGTCCCAAGTTTGGAAACTCATTCAATACTCCAGCCAAACGCATTATGTCAATATTTTTTAGAATGAACTTCTACAGACGGATCAAGATGTGTAGGCTGAATTACTTAAAAGGCACATCTCTCTTCATAGAACGATATTGGAATCATGATTTCAATTAACATATTTATGAAACCCTAATCTCGATCGGAGACTCAAAAACATAATAGAGACTATGATTATACTCTTTATCTAATTGTTACCAGTGACTTTCGGAACCCTGCACATAGCAAGCCAGTTAGCTGCTAACTTCGTGAAAACATTTCTGGAATACAAGTTCCTCCTATCCGGAACTAGGTGATGTAAGTTTGAGGATTAAAAAAAATGAGCTTGTCCCCCCAAAAGAAATAAAAGTAGACAATGAGAAAATAATCTTCTGACAACACATATCTATACTTGTGAAGTGATTTCCAATGAGTTGGTTATGCCGAGTTTTCTGGTTAAGTACTCGATATTTTCCTGCTAGAGCCATGAATATTCTCAAATAACTTGATCAAGTACCTGATAAAATACTAATTTCTTTTACTGTTTTTCAGGTTTCGCACAGTCATTACAAGTTGTTGTCTTTCGCCTTCTACTTCTGCAAATTTGAGACTTATTTCTGAGTATCTCTCTTCCATTTCCTTCAGTTCTCTTTCCATAGTTTGGTTCCTCTTCTTTAGGGAAGACATCTCCTTGAGGAGATCAATATTACAGTCCTTGGTACCTTTCCCAGCAGTTGACGATTTCAGTTCTTTATTTGATGAGTTAGAGTCCACTTTCCTGCAAAGCATAATTAACAATTACATAATTAAATAAAAACTCTTATAACACCCAAAAATATAAGGAAATAATGAAATGAACATGCTTCTGAATGTGCACTTTTCTGGCAGTATATATTCACAATTATACATGGTTATTTGGGTTTGGAAACATTAATGCATGGAGATGTTTATTATTATGACAACTGACAAGAAAGATAGGCTTCAAGTTTAATTGATCGGCAGCTTATACCTTCCACAAAGTGCTTCATGTACATTGCTCTGGTTCGCTTTCTCTTCTTTATTATTTGCTATGGTGGTAATACCAGAATGGTTTGTTTCCTATATTTCAAAGATATCTGCAATGTTAGCACAGTCTAGAATATGGATAAAGTGATACAAATGAAACACGAAACAAAGTCTAAAAGGGACAACTGCAGAAGTATTATGCAACTTCAAGGAATAAACTAGCTTCAGCTTAAATGGTTAGCGATTGAAGTATCAATATTAGTCAACTAAGTGGGAAATTCTATTCTTTTTTCTTTTTTATATCATCTTAATTTTTACAGAAAACTATGATATATACCAAGTGCTTGACTTTCTTTTCAAATACTTCATTTATGATGATATGGAATTTATTTAGAAGAAGACTGTAGTCATCTTGATGAGGTATTGTGAATGTCTACAATTGCTACCAATGCCTCTCAGAAGAGAAAATTACATTAGGTTGTCAAGTTAATAATGTAGTTTTGAACTTGCATAAGAGCTTTGACCATTTAGACTAATTCTGAACATAATCTTGTTCCCATATTGTAGTATTGAGATTTTTCTCTAGAATAAATATATCTTTGAATTTTCTACAACACTAGCTCCTTAAAGCGCTCATTACCAGCCATCTCATTATCTTTCTTTCTTCTACTTCATCTTTTCAGTATATATCTAATCATAAATTTGGTACTCTCTAGGTAATATCAATTATGGAGAGGACTTTTGGAAGTGTCATGGGTGAAATAATTGATTGGGTCAAAACCCACCAAAAGAAAAAGCTCAAAGGCCAAGAAGCAAATTTGAAGAGGGTCAATTAAGCCTGAGAGGTCGACTACCACAAGTGCCAACCAAAGTTGAGGCCCTTGAGGCGGACCCTCAAGGGTATTTTGACCATCCTATAGGAGTCAACCGATGGTTGAAAAGACTATGACTTGAGTCTCGATCACAATCACTCAAGATGGTTTGACCATGTAATGGTCCAACCTTGTAACCATTTCTCATACTCAATGCACCACGAGAATCACGACGTTTTATAACACTCCATTATGATGAAGGTTTCTCCACCACATATAAGTTCAACAAGTCAGAAGATGGAAAGGTACGTCAAAGACACTGACTTATTCCTCTCTACACCTATTATCGACTCAATTACTGACTTGAGCATCAGACTAGTGGTACGTTAGCACTAGACCCTTATGCACCTCTCTTTCTCTTGTAGGCACAACGCGGTTCTCAATAATACAATTTATTGTTGATCCGCCAATCAAAATCCGGTATCAACAGAAAACATCAAAATTTCAGAATTTTGTGTCTTATTTTTCATCTGGATATTTAGTTACAGGGTTCGAGAAATACCTGAAGCAATTGCATCACCTCTCCTGAAGTTGAAAGCTCCTGTTTGGTATGCGCAAGTGTTTGAGATCCATTATGAATTGATGCTGAGTTTCGATTCAAAGCTGAAATTTCTCGACTTTCCAACTTGATGTTTGATGTGCCAGAAGTTCTCTCCTTATTTTCTAGTTCACTCTTTAATTGGAATACCTGTTTTCTTAGGTTTTCTTTCTCAGAATTTTCTGCCTGTGACTCCTTTAACTCATTAATTTGGGCTCTAAGAATTTCCATCTCAGCTAGCAGATTGTCGATTAATGTATCTTGCTCGTGTTTGGAAACTTTAATTCTAGTAAGCTCTTCCTGTGCCTTTTCTACTTCTCTCTTCGAAAAAGCCATATCTTTTTCCAAAATCTCCTTTTCTTTACTTTTTTCTTCCAATGCTTCCATTTCAGAGATCAAACATTCAGGATGTTCTCTCTCTGCCTGCTTTTTAGTGTGCTTTTCTGCATTTATTTTTTCTATATTTGATTTCAGCATTTGGATTTCCTCCTGCTGATAGTCTTCCTGCTTTTTTGCATCTTCAAGTCGTCTAGACTTGTTATCTAACTCCATTGACATGTGATGCATTTCTTTTGCTTTTAACTCTAGCTGGAAGGAAAGGCCATGCAGTTTTTCTTCACTTTGTTCTTTATTTCGCCTGGACTCTTCCTTAGACTTCTGGAGCATTTCTTTCAATACTATTTTCTGCAGACGCAACTCATTGATTTCTTTGACTGCTTTAGTGATTCTCTTTTCATTATCATTTAACTTGGAAGCCATTTCCATCGAGAACTTTTTACTTCTCTCCTGAAGAATGACGGCTTTTATGGCACTTTTCCACCTTGTCTTACTCAATATTTCTTTGGCTTCTATAGCCATTTTTTCCAACTTCACATTGGCATATTTCATGGCATTGAGTTCATCATAATACTCGTGTTTCTGCTTTTCCAATTCTCTTTCCAAGCGCTTGATCTGACCTTCAAGTTCATTAATTGAGATCAAAGATTCTGAAAACTCCTCGGTTTGTATTTGGAGTTTCTCTTCTAGTCTTTCTATTTCGGATTCAAGTTCTCTTATAACAGCCAGAGAACCTGAATATTCATTCTGTTTTATTTGATATTCTGTCTTGTTTCTCTCTAACTTTGCAGACATGTCACTGTTTTCTCGCTTGAGAATTTCATTTTCCAACATAAGTTGTTCTAAATGCATTTCTAGCTCTTCCATGTTCTTCAAATGCATTTCTATTTCACTATTTAAATCTTTGATCTCCTGTTTCAACAAGTCCACTTCCTTGACATCGTCATACTCTTGAATCAATTCTTTTGAGAGTTTTGGGTCCTTATCATTATTCTCTTTGCAATGGCCAACAGCTTCCTGTTCTCTATCACTCTCCCAGGATTCTAAACTTCTTGATAGATCAGCTATTACCCTATTTTTTAGCTCAATCATTTCTTCAAGATCTCTCACAGCAAGAACTAAATCAGAGTTGGACTCCTTTGTTATCTGCAGTTGTAGCTGAAGATCAGTTCGTACTTCCTTTTCTTGCTTAAGCTCCTCCCCTATTGCTGCCAACTGAACCCTTGCTTCCTTAATCTCAGACTTTAAAGTCTTCGAGTCCTCAGACTCGTCATTGCATTTCTTCAAGAACTTGAGTTGTTTGCACTCTGTTTTGAGTGAATCTCTTTCCTCAGTGAGGCAAATGATTTGTCGTGATAGATTCTGCCCTTGTATAGTCTCCTTTGTGACCTGTTTGCGAAGAGACTGCAATTCCAGTTCTGTTACTTCTAGCTTTCTCGTGAGCATTACATTTTCATTCTTTACTCTTTCAATAGAACTATTAGGGACCTGGTGCATCCTCTCTCTTGAAGTGTTTTCTTCAGGACTATTTGCAGAGTCGCCAAAACTTCCATCTGAAGCTGAACCCAGGGACCATTCTGTATTTGATCGCTCATGTGCTTGGTTTTTCACTCTAGTGGTGTCAACTGTTGCCTTCCTAGGCATGGAGGTCTGTCTAGGGGGTGACAAGAGGGTAGGACTTTGTACACCATTCGTCATTGATCTGGAACCCTGTTGAGTACTTCTTTCACCATTGTTACCATCCCAGTATGATGCAAATTTAGCTGAACTAGAGCCAGGGGGCACTCTAGAGTTGCCATTTTGTTCAGCATCCTCACGTAATGTATTTTGGTCACCATTCTGCAATCCAACCATACTCTATATAAATAGGATCGAGCCAATGGTTTCGTACATTTGAAATGTTTGGAAAATTGGAATGAGACCTTACTTCTATGAGATAATGGTTGCCTTCTGTACTAGAAAAGCTAAGTTGGCTATTAAAGCTTTTCTCATGTTGAAGTGCTGCGCCTCCACTCTCTTCATAATCCCTGCCAATTGGAAACTAAAACTTCATAAGGAAAGAAGGTCACACTGTAAATTAAAATGAAGCTTAAGTTTTTGATATTACCCTTGGTCATTATCCCCTTCCATCTTGTGAATGGTAATCTGTTTCATCAAAACCCATGAAAATCAGGAATATTCACAATGAAATGGAAGTTTGACTAGACTTCAAATTGCTAGGTAGAGCTACAACGGATGGGGAGAGATAGAGAGAACCAACGTGTAATATGGCACCGGAGTTTGCAAACTTAAGAGGTAGGGAAACAGTGATGGGTTCAGTCTCCGCCTCAAAATCTGCAAAATCGACCGAAGCTTCACCTACAAAGCCAGATTTGGATGATCCCTGCATAGTGCATACACATACATATAGAATTTTACAAGTTGCTCCCACCAAATGGCTAATTACAAGTTGTAGAAAATATAAAAGTTTATGTTGCTATGCCTTACAGTTGAAACAACAAAATGGTAAATTTTCTCATTGATTTTTCCTGTTTTTATCTCTCTAACAAGCTTGACTGTTTCATAGACAGGATTCTCCCAGAAACAAGTTCCATCCTGAATAGCAGCTTTCTCTAGCTTCACTGTTGCCTTCCCCACATCATCTGGCACCAAAGATATCATCAAAGCCGATTTCTTCAACTTCGGCACCTGAATGAAGATCAATATTATCAAGTAAGATCTTGTCCCTCTCCCTTCATTTATCACAAACCACACTCGTACACATTGACACAAATAATTGCAAGCTTCGTTCAAACTCTCTTGCATCAGCTTATAATCTCTATAGAAGGGATAGAAAATTTATAACTAATTGACAGGAAAATTAAAAATTAAAAATTTCGGGTAGAAGAAGCTATTTCATGATGAGCAGAGAAAAATGTAGCTATCCCCTCCGGCCTGCAAAGTCAATACCTGAGTTGCCTGGAACTGTAATTTGAATACAGCTTTGATCTTCTGCTTCTTGCTCCATGATTTGAACATTGTTTCAGTTCTGTTTTAGATCTCAGACAAGGAAAACCTCTAATCGGTGGAATATACGAATATACAATGTTGTGTAGAACTTGATGGGGTAGTAATAACTTATTCTGGTTTGAACCGGAATAAATTCTGTCCTCCCTGGTCGCTGCAAGATAGGAAAATCCAGAAAGCAGCAATAAAAGCTGGGGGCCTGTAAAAATTAAATTTTGTGGGCTTAGAGCAGGTTCATTAGAGGAGGTGAAAAAGATGAGGAGAAACTAGCTAGACGGAAGGAGAACTGAGAAGTTTCTCTGCCATGGCGGGCGGCAATCAGACAATGCCGCAGTACAGTGTTGGAAGGAACAACGCTGAAGTGCAATATGGTTTAGTTTTGGCCGAAAAGGCTGGCGGTGCTGTAGTGCTTTTCAAAATGACAAATGTGCCCCTATACTTTAATGATGCCTCCTCATCAACATCCAAAACAAAACTTTATTTTAACGTCGGAAGCCACCAGCTTTTGGGCTTCCACGTTATTCAAAGCTTGCTAAATTTTATTTAATCACATTTAGGAATTGATTTTATATAAATTTCAATGGCAGTTTAGGGTTCGCTTTTCCAGGGCACAGTGGTCCTTCACTACTCAAGTGTGATATAACAAACAACCATATTTCTATCTCAAGGTCCGATTCCAAAATGGTATACCAATATTTTTATTACTTTGTTGATTTAAATCTACAACTTTTTTCTCTCTAATTAGATGGAGTCAGCGTGATACACAAATTTCAGGTATGTTTTCTATTTTATTTTTTTGTTAGTATTTGCTTTTTTTTAATATAATATAATAGAACTATGGTAATGGATGATTTATCCACTAAATTATATTTAAATTGATAAATTGGTCAGGGAAGAATAAAGGTTAAAACTCTCTTATTAAACTAAAAAAATTAGTACAACTAAATATTATTTTATTATTATGTTTTATGTATGAAAAGGCAGGTAGAATAATAAACAGGTTTTTTTTTTTTTTTTTTTTTTAGTATTCCTATTTAATAATCAAAATGACCATTTTATATCACTCAAGAATTGGAGGAAAATAAATTTTATACATTTTTTTCTCCATAAAATAAGGATTATATATATTAGTTGGAAATGAGAATATAAGTTTCTTTTTAAAGAGTTATTGAGAAGATTAAGTTGAGACGGGCTCAATAGTCAAAAAGATAAAAAGGAGGATTTTTTTTATTTTTTTTATTTTTTATTTTAATTGCGTAAACCTGTAAACCAATATAAGAAGCCCATTAAATGTAAGCTTGAATAATTGGATCGCTAATTAAAATAAAAATATCTGTAAAATGAGAGGAAACACGTGGGTTCATGTGCCCTTTCCACTCCCCAAATATAATCAATCATTAATCCACTGAGTATAGATTCCAGATGCTTCCTTCCTGGAATTTCACTTCTCCATTCTGCCACTAAAATACACAAAATAAATTAATTAAAATATTTAATACATCATAAATATTAAAACTTTCCATTTTTTCTTCATATTATTTAAAATTTTTAATTAAAGGTCTTTGTGGGCTTGGGTCAAAGTGGCCCATTAAACATTATTCTCCATTTTTTTAACCTTATAATTAAAAGCATCCATTTTAAAATTTAATAGGCAACCTCGTGGACCATAAACTCTATTATATAAACTCAACCCAATCAAACCCATAAAAAGAACGAACAAACAAACAATCCGACACCCAGAGGGTTCCAGAATTGCTTGGACTTTCACAGTAGAGAGAGTGAGAGATGATGCCGGCGGTGAAAGCTTTTCCGTTCACCGTGATCAGTCACGGGCTCGCAGTGGTGGCGCTCATCATGGTGCTCATTTGGACCTTTCATTTCAGCTTTTTTTCTTTGATTTTATAATTGTTACGAACCATTTGCATGTTTACCTTTTTATATATATACGTAGATCCATTCTTTTGTTCTTCAATAAAAGAAAAATGAACGATATTTCCAACTTTTAAGTCCTACTTCTCACTTCCCACCTACTTTCATTAATGCTTTATTTGATGATTTCATTTTTAAATCATCTCACCATCTCATCTATATCATCTAAATCATAATTTTTTTTTTTTTTCGATTTAGATTGGGTTGAATGTTTTAAAATCTAATAATTCATATCACAACCAGCAAGGTTGACGTTTTTTTTTTTGTCCAAGTAAACTAAAAAATAGGGTTACAATTCAATCTCACCTTACTTTTAAGATTATTATGAACATTAAAAATATTTAACAACTTAGGTTAGTTGTGACGGATATTTTTTTTAAATAAAAAGATTTATCCAACTCCATATATACTCTTAATTTTCACCTTAGATTTATCCAACTCGGTATATACTCTTAATTTTCCCCTCTTTTTAATTTAAAGTTAGTGTGGAAACCTATATTTAAATTATTAATAAGATAATCATACTATATAGCAATATTTGTAGTCAAATCTAAACGACTCAACGTGTTTCATGTAAAATAATTTTTTAAACAATATCATACTCTAATCTTTTAGAATTAAGGTTTCAAAAACCACAATCTTCAATAATATATATAGTAAATTTGAATTTTTTAGACGGGTCAACGGATCATCCTGAAATTATCAACGTTTACCTGAACAAATATTACATATTAATTATCAGTTTTTTTCGGTACTCATTAGGTTCATCCTGTTTTTATGCTATTCGGATTGATCATCATACGAGGCGAAGGTAATGATCTAAATAAAATTCTATATTATTAGTTAATTTCCATTTGAAAATTAAATTAATTATTATTAATTCGAAATAATGCGTTAAAAAATCATGCAGCAATAAGCAATAATCAGTTACAAATCACTGCCGTTCATAAAAGAAGTAAAGATGGTGATCCATCTGGCACTAAACGGCGTCGCATTGGTTCTAGGCATTGTGGGAATCAGCGCTGCATTCAAGGACCATAACGAGAGTGGGATCGCTAATCTTTACAGCTTACATTCCTGGATTGGAATTGGCGTAATTGTCCTCTACGGTATCCAGGTATTTACGTAATTGCCACCCATCATTTTAATTTCTTTAATTTTAATTTTATAAAAGCATATTTATTTATAGTTAAGATTTGAAAATGGGCAGTGGTTGTACGGATTCGTGTCATTTTTCTACCCCGGAGGCTCCGCCGATCTTCGAAGAGCGACGCTGCCATGGCACGCACTGTTGGGCGCGTGTGTGTACGTATTGGCCGCCGCCAACTCGGCGCTTGGCTTCCTTGAGAAGCTGACGTTTCTGCAGAGCTCCGGCGTCGCCAAATACGGCACTGAGGCCTTGCTCGTCAACTTCACCGCCATCACCACCGTCGTTTTTGCAGTGTTTGTGATTTTGTCTGTCACTTCACAGCCCTCCTCCGACCAACACCACGACGATTATAGAATCCATTCAGCTAAATGATGCGTGACCGTGACCGTGTCCATGGCTATTATAGTATTGATGACCATAAAAATTAAACATTTCCAATTAACCATACCGTGTTATTTTGCATTTTTTTTTTTAATGTTTAGATTTGTATGATTTAAGTAGTATTGATCGAACTATTTTGTGAAGTTATTCGAATTATGAGTTTTTATTTCCTTTTAATCTTGATCATTAAGACAATCTATGACTTTGGGGAGGAGAACCAAACACAATTTATAAGGGCGAGAAGGGCAGTCGGAAGAGTCGCCTCATCGGGCGAAGAAGCCAATTTTGGCAGGAAGGGCGGCGGCAACTTGGTTGGCGAATAGGCCAGTGCGACACCCAGATTCCGAAGGTAAATCTCTACAAAAGGTTGATAGGTTTAGGTTAGGGTTTATGTGAAGGATGAAGGTTGATTGGGAAGAAAATGAGAGATACTATATTGGCCAAGGGAAAAACCGATTGGGTTGGAAAAGGTGAGGTTGTATGTACAAAGTATGACGAAAGGTGATTTGGAGGTCAATAGGGTGGAGCTGAAGAGTAATCAATCGGCTCCGACTAGGCAGCCATGAAGACTGCCCCTGCGGCGTCAAAACCAGCAGGGGTGGTGGAGAAGAAGATTAGAGGATTCAAAAGCCATTGAAAAGAAAGGATCGGGGTTGTTAAACCGAGAGGGCTCTGATACCATGTGAATGTTTGATTAATCCATCACACCTAAATGGTGTGAAAGTTATCTTATTTATAATCAAATAAATTACAAGGATATGGAAATAGTAATAAATGGAAATAACAATAAATGGAAAGATACCTATGATAATAAGGCAAATATTAGATATTTGCCTTATAATAAAATATCAAATATAATATATATGGTAAACTATAATTTATTACTAAATATCCTTAACACCCCACCGCAAGCTAAGCGTCGGATTTAAACGAACGTGAAGCTTGAATCTGAAAAATTCAAAGAGGTTGAGAAACACTTTTCATGAAGATGCTAACAACCCGGTTCTTGGCCATCAAAAATTGCAGAGGGATCGCCGCTCAGCGGCGATGCTGCCTTGGCTTCGGCGAGAATATGTCTAACCCATGAAGAGGGATTGTCGCTTAGCGACGATGCTGCCTTGGCTCTGGTGAGAATATTTCTAACCCCAAGAAGTAGAAGGGGAAACCTAGAGCAAGGGACAAAGACAATGTTGAAGCCGGAAGAGTCGCCACATTGGGCGAAGGAGCCAATTTTGGCGAGAAGGGCAGTCGGAAGAGTCGCCTCATCGGGCGAAGAAGCCAATTTTGGCAGGAAGGGCGGCGGCAACTTGGTTGGCGAATAGGCCAGTGCGGCACCCAGATTCCGAAGGTAAATCTCTGCAAAAGGTTGATAGGTTTAGGTTAGGGTTTATGTGAAGGATGAAGGTTGATTGGGAAGAAAATGAGAGATACTATATTGGCCAAGGGAAAAACCGATTGGGTTGGAAAAGGTGAGGTTGTATGTACAAAGTATGACGAAAGGTGATTTGGAGGTCAATAGGGTGGAGCTGAAGAGTAATCAATCGGCTCCGACTAGGCAGCCATGAAGACTGCCCCTGCGGCGTCAAAACCAGCAGGGGTGGTGGAGAAGAAGATTAGAGGATTCAAAAGCCATTGAAAAGAAAGGATCGGGGTTGTTAAACCGAGAGGGCTCTGATACCATGTGAATGTTTGATTAATCCATCACACCTAAATGGTGTGAAAGTTATCTTATTTATAATCAAATAAATTACAACGATATGGAAATAGTAATAAATGGAAATAACAATGAAAAGATACTTATGATAATAAGGCAAATATTAGATATTTGCCTTATAATAAAATATCAAATATAATATATATATGGTAAACTATAATTTATTATTAAATATCCTTAACAATTTCCTTTTAATCTTGATCATTAAGACAATCTATGACTCTGGGGAGGAGAACCAAACACAATTTATAAGGATGTGGAAACCTTACCTTAGCGGACGCGTTTTAAAGCATTGAGGGGGAAGCCCGAAAGAGAAAGCTTAAAGAGGACAATATCTTCTAGCGTGAATTTGAGCCATTACAAATGATATTTGAGCCAGACACCGAACGATGTGTCGATTTTTTCGTTGTTCCTCGAAGGGGGTAGACACGAGGCGGTGTGCCAGTAAGGACACTGGGCCCCGAAGAAAGTGGATTTGATGGTGGTCTCACATCAATTGGAGGAAGAAAAGAGTGTCAGCGAGAACGCTGGGCCTCGAAGAGGAATAGATTGTGACTTCTCACATTGGTTAGAGAGGAGAACAAAACACCATTTGTAAGAGTATGGAAATCTTCCCCTAGCAGATGAGTTTTAAAGCCTTGAGGAAAAGCCCAAAGATGACAATATTTGCTAGCGGTGGATATAGGCCGTTACAGAATCGGTTTGCAAACTTTCCCTCAGATTGATTCTTCATCGTTTTTGGGGTTTTTTGACAAATTAAATCTAGAGATCTCGTTCTTCACAAGGTTTTTAGATTGAATCCTACGAGATGCATATCACTCCCTCGCATTTACCTTATAGAACTGGCACTTTGATCAGTATTTTGTCACGACAATTGTACGTCGAAGTTGCTCAGCTTCATTGACGGTGTAAATTCCTATAAATTGGAAAGCTCCCTCAACCTTCAAGAATGGACACATTCTTATTTATCCATTTCATGTGTTTTTTTTGACCGTGTAGGCATATCTAACCCTAGAATGAAGGATTATTTACTACGTCTAAAAATATACAGAGGGGACCAAACAGTCATTATATTTTGTTTACTATTATTATTATTATTATTTTTTTTTAGAGTTTATGAAGGAACTAAATTAAGTATATATTTAAAAACTTATTATATACTTTTAATTATTCTAATCACTCTAAAGTTTAATTATTTTAATCTCATTTAATAATATTTTTTAGTCACGTCTTTTAAATAGTGGGTTGATGATATAATTATTTGAATGACTTCAACCGAATATTTGATGTTGTGTTGCCAAAATAAAATTAAGTTGGAGGGTTATTTTCCAGAGTGGAATTTAATTTATTACAAAATAATATGAACACATCCAAAAAAAAAAAAAATAAATAAATAAATAAAACAAATTTGTGTTGGTGTGGATTTGGTTTCTCCATACCTGCCAAACTGCCGACACCCCAGGTACAGAAAATACCATGTAATTAATTTTTAATATAAATAAATAATTAATTAACTTAAAATCCATAATTTTCCACCTAAATTTCAATATTTATTTTATTTTCATTTTTAAAAGCTTTATTTTAGTTCTTGTGTTTTTTTGTTTCCTCATTTATATAAATATTTATATATTATTTTTTTATATTATTTTATTCAAAACTCTACGTAAGCAGAGTGTCTAATGTTCACATGAAATGTAATACATGAACCATCTGCATAAGTTTAAACTTTAAATTGATGTCATGAACTCGACAAAGTCAAACTTTCATTAAAGATAAATTGATGACTGATCAAGTAAGTGAGACTTTGGTGTATGATGATGCATGTTCCATGACTCTACATGCACCATATTATATTATTATGTCTATCCAAGAATTTGTTATTTTTTATTTATAGATTTCTACACGTTGTTTAATAGAAATTTTTAAATTAAAAAAAAAAAGTATTTTAAATTTTAGAATTTAATGTAATAAAACATAATTTCAAAATAAAGTTATTATTGTAACAACGTAAATGTTGGTTTATTTATATTGAAAAAGATAATAACGTAATTAATTATTTTAGTGCATCAATAATGAATTGACATTGAATGAGCATTAATTTTGAATAATAAAAACTTGAAAAACGTTATGACGTTAGAGCCGTTATTGGTTGTACCAAATACCATTCATTATTTTACCTTATAACCCAAATTTAGACTATGAATTTTAATTAAATTAAAATTAATTATTGCTTATTTATTAAATTAAGCCTATGATCTTCCACTACCTCACCGTCAATAGGAAATAATAGATATTCTACAAAAATGGAAATTAATTAATTAATTAATTTTTTTATTTTGTAAAACTTATTCGAGATGACGTCATTAAATGAAATTATTTATTTTACAAAATCTACCTAACGCTCTTAATTACGTCAAATTAAACCAACAATTTGTTGGAGCATAAAAGTCCCACATCGGCTAATTTAGAGAATGATCATTGGTTTATAAGTGAGGAATACTAACTCCATTGATGTAAGGTCTTTTGGGGAAGCCCAAAACCCTAAAGCAAAGCCATGAGAGCTTATGTTTAATGTTTATAATTGATATTAGTGATGCATTGTAATCAAGATTTTAATTATTATTGAGCGAGTGAACTCTCTTCCAGAACATTTATAAAATTCTACTAATTCTAATTTTTTAAGATAAAAATAAGAAGATATTTGTTTATATAATTAAAAAAAAGAATTAAATAATGGATATGGTGTTTGGGACGTTAAAGTGTGTTGAATATGATGCCAACTCACATTAAGTAATATGTAACCATCATCCAGCTCAGTCTTGAACACAACCAACAGTTCCCCCACTTTCCCCTTCCTCCTCCCTCCTTTCCTTCCAGATTTCCCCATGGCTGACGCTTCCAACAACCCCGAATCGGCGGCGCCACCCTCCAATCCTCCGCCGCAACCGGCCGAAGAAGAAGCCCCCAAAGACGTCGCCGAGGAGAAAGCTGTAATTCCACCGCCCCCGCCACCCGTCGAAGACAAACCCGACGACTCCAAAGCCCTTGTTCCGGTTGAACGTAAATAATCAACAAACCCACTTCTTGTTTCATGTGTTTTACATAAATCCATCGTTAATTTTCATCTCAGAGTTGAATTTAGGGCTTTTTAATCGATTATCTTGCTCTGTTATTCTCTGTGTTCTGTTCTTGTGTTCTTCAGAGTATTCAGAACCAGATGAACCCAAATCCACTGAGGGCTCTGTAAACAGAGGTTTTAATTACAAAAACCCTTAATCTTGTTCTTAATTATTGTTTGTTTCAATGAAATTTAAGAATTAATTTAATTGTTCAGATGCTGTTCTA